ATACCCATTGGTTACCTTTAGTTTCGATACACATAAGCAATTAAAGTGTGATTAGATGCAACTTTAACCGTTTTCTTTTTGTAAAGTTGCCCTTCAAAGTTGAATGTTATTGTCTGGTATTCTTTATAAGAAAAGTGTGACAACTTACTGTAAAATGAGAAAATGGTCTTTTTTTTTGGGGGGGGGGGGGGGGGGGATGAGCAACAAATTGGTACATACCCTATTAATGATTTATGTCCCCTTCTAGAGGGTGTTCTGGTCGACTTAAAGGAGCCCTTCAAACGCAATTTTAACTATTTGTTTTTTACATGTTGACATCACTCCAACTGTTATATGACCAAAATAGGTTTCAAAAGTCAAACTAATATATGGCCAAAACTCATTTGATGTAGGCAATTCCAATAATTTTCAAATGAAAAATGGCATTTTTTTTTTTGCGAAAACTATCTCAAAGTCTAATAATAAGTTATGTAGTTTGGGTGGGACTCAATGGCTCTATATAAGTCAGATTGTTGACTAATAATACGTTATTTTTCTTAGTGTAAAAAATTGGTGTTTATATATATGTATATATATATATATATATATATATATATATATATATATATATATATAAGATTGTAGTATATGGTAATATCCTTTAATTTATATTGTTTCAGCACATTGTTGCCAAGTCATATTTAATACAATTTATCTACATAGTCATTCAATTTGTCATTGTTTTATGAATTGTGTGATCATAAGTCGAAAAGGGGCATTTGAAAGTTGAATGCTATTGTTGGTATTCTCTATGGGAGGCTATTTTGGTTTGGATTTTCCGCTCTAAATGGAATATAACAAGAAAACTGGGACTATTTTACTACTAAAGGGAAATATGGTATTTTACATGTTTTGGGGTTCAAGATGTAGAAATTGCTACACACCGTAGTAACAATTTACGTCCCCTTCAAGAATGTATCTTAGTCGACTTAAAGGAGCCTTTCAGATGCAACTTCACATGGTTGACTATTCAACAAATTGTATTTTGATGAAGACTATTCTTTACATTTAGACACAACCTAGTACAAAAATAATGACAATTACATAATTATAATCACACATTCGATGACAATACTATAATTATACTGATTAGACATTATATTTCTTCTAACTAGATTTACTTGTAGACACACATAATAATTGTAAACATAACCAAATGCAACTTACACTAATAATATTTGTTTTTTTTCATAGCCAATTCATTATATTTTTTCACACATAATAAATGGCACATAACCATAAACAACTAAAATTAACTTGTTTTCTTGCTTTTACTTAGTCACTGCTAAACGCCACCCTATGGACACACAAATATTTAATGCGGCTATATGTATCCCCTGTTAGCTACATTGGATTTCATGTGTCAAAATAGCTCCATGATACAAAAACTATAACATTCGGACTTTCAGGTATATTATTATATGTTTAATTTTGAGGTTTATGGACTGACTCGACGAGTTGTGAGTCCAACTCATCGAGTAGAGTCGAATTATCTGCGTGGGATTAATGAATGGACTCGACGAGTCAGAGAGCCGACTCGCCGAGTAGGTGCTGGGCAGAGAAACCCTAATTTCCCAGGGTTGGGGCCTATGTAAGGGAACTTATGCCCCCATTTCTGCATCACCAGCTGCCTAACCCTTCTGTGTGAAACCCTAAACGTGTGTAGTGAGCTATTGGAGTCTTAGAAGCTAAACTTGGAGTAAATTAGTGCATCATTTGAGGAGGAGCGGAGATTAACCATCAAGGAAGCAAGAGAATCGGTTGGATCTAGTGCATCTTCATGCAAGGGCTTCATTGGGAGGTAAAAGCTTGCACCTTTCTCATTTATTTTCCTAGATCTCACTATTATGGAAGATTAGCGTTTCTTCCACCTTTTGTTGGGACTTCGAGCATATAGAGTTATCATGGGGTTCAGACCTCAGATCTGGATCTTGTGAGGTCCATAAAGTCCGAAGGTCCCAACTTTATTCATCCACATGAGGGTTATTGTGCTTAACACCTTGTGAGAGCATGTTTTGGTATGTTGGAGCAAAGCTACCATACATGGACGTAAAGATCGAAGCTTTACGTGACAACTGAGTCTTGAGATGCTAGATCTAGTCTTTGGAGTGGTAGATCTGCTTTGAATAGTCTAAATGAGTAATGAGTTTTAATGGACTCGCCAGTCGATGAGCCGACTCGACAAGTCAGTGGGGGTTTGTCCCAATGAGCTTGATCATGCGATAACTCGACGATTTGGGGCTCAAATCGACGAGCTGAGTTGGACCTTCATGAGACTTCTGAGGAATACAAGTGGACTCGACGAGTCACATGGGTGCACTCGGCGGGTCGGGTCAAACATGGGCTGTTGACTCAAGTTGACTTCTGTTGACTTTAGGGTTAGGTCAAACATGAGTAATTGAGACCATGGAGGGGTAAAAATGGTCTTTTATCCACTTCAAGAGTTAGAGAGAGAAAGAATAGCCTTCGGGTATTAAAGTCGTGAAAAGAGTATTAATTAAAGATATTCATCCTTTGTGTTAAGCGGAGGTTAGTTTGAGATTCGAGTACGAGGTTATTTTCTTGCCTGCTTGCGAAGTGAGTCTTCTCACTATACTTTACCTAGAATGGTAATCTTTGTTTGACCGGAGGGTCTTATGTGTTATATTGATTATTGAGTCTTATCCTGTATTATGTCTTTGTGATTTATGATGTGTATTATTTCGAGCTTACTGAGTTAGGACCGGATGGTCCACCCGAGTTGTGGGACTGGAGGGTCCCATTGAGACACATTGACTAAAGGGTCTTATTTGAGCATAGCTATGAGAGGCTAATGAGATATGTGTGGTATTTTGGGAAACTCATTAAGCTTCGTGCTTACCGTGTTATGTGATATGTGTTTCGGGTTTTCTCAGGATCGCAGGAAGGCACCGGCTTGATTGTACACACCAGATAAAGAGTTATGTTTTGAGGATCCTGGATTATTAATCGAACAATTATGGAGTTGTTTTTTGTAGATTAAATCAATGAGATTTTTGTGAAATGTGTTACGAGAAGTATGTGATTTTAAAATGAAATTTTTGTTTGAAAATTTACTGTGTTACAAAAACATATACAGTTATCCTCATGTCACCGGATATCTATGTATTGTCTCTTATATAAAAAGTATCATAATGTAAATCTATAAATGTGGCTGATAGTGAAATATGGCCACAGTCTTCGAGTGTCACTTATAATTGTCACATTTGGTATAATTAAATGTGGTTAAAGTTTTGATTATCTATACAATGGAGACACATACTAATGTAAATGTATCCAAAAACAGTCTCAAAATTTTTTTAGTGACCTTGTTCATAAAAAGTGTGACATATCGTTTTTCGGAAAGTATCACTGTAGGTCATTTTTGTACTAGTGCATTCAGTATAGTTGATGATGAAGCGTTTAGGGAATTTGTTTGGGAAATTAATCCATTGTTCAAAATTCCACCTAGGTGGACCGTTGTAAACGATTGTTTATCAATACATGAAGAAGAGTAAAATAAGCTTAAAAAACTTCTTAAAAATCAAACTTTTTTCTTACCACCGACACATGGACATCGGTCCAAAATTTTAACATGTGCCTTACAACTCATTGGGTTGATGGCAATTGGATGTTGAAAAAAAATAATTTAAATTTTTTTTCAAATACCAATCATAAGGGTGTGACGATAGGAAAGTATGTTTATCGTTGCTTACAACAATGGGGGCATAGATCAGGTTTTTACTATAACCGTTGATAATGCTTCATCTAATGATGGAGCAATTAAATATTTAAGATCTATGTTAAAGGAATCTCGGTCTATGTTATATAGCGAATATTTTCATTTAAGATGTTGTGCCCATATCATCAACCTTGTGGTGAGAGATGGATTAGATGAGCAATTTATTACAATTACTAATATTAGAAATGCAGTTAAGTATGTGAGATCATTTCCTTCAAGGTATGACGGCTTCAAAGAGTGTATTGACTATTGAGTGTGAAAAGACTGATTGCAAAAGAAAACCATGTCTTAATGTAGAGATTCGATGGAATTCTACATTCTTAATGTTGGAAACAGCAGAGAAGTATTAAAAGGCATTCAATAGGTATTTTATATTATTGTTTTATTACACATTCTTACTATTATGCGCTAATGTTTGTTACTTTGGTTTTCATAGGCTTTAAGAGATTGATATCAATTATAGTTCTTACTTCTATAATGAAGGCGATGATGCTAATCGTAAGAAGAGTACTAGAAAGAGAAAGAACTCAAAAGAAGAATGATCGAGTTTTAGGGGCTCCCGAAGACGATGACTGGGTAACAACTAGGTATGAATTTTATTGTTTTCATTTAAGTATGCTAATATGTCAATACATAATAATAGCCTAATTATGTTAATTTGTTTTAGTAGGAGTTTTATGGATTTCTTACAAAATTTTTACAATGTTACAAAAAAAATTTCCGGCAATAAATATGAAACATCAAATTTATTTGTTGGGGAGCTAATCACAATGCATGCGGCCATATCAAATATGTGTTTAAACAAAGATGAAAAAAAGAAAGATATGACATTGTCAATGAAAGCAAAATATGATAAGTATTTGGACAAATTGGATAACATGAACTTATTATTGCATATTGCATTAGTTTTAGATCCTCGAAACAAGATGTTCTTTCTTGATTATTGTTTGGGGTTGATCTATGGTATTAATTATGAAAAGGCAACGAAGTAAATTAGCGAGTGCTAGAAACTTTAAAGGAGTTATTTATTCAATACAAGAAAATGATGGACAAAGAAAATGAGAAAAAAACAATTGGTTCTTCAACAACAACTACTACATCCTTTAGTAGTTTTGTACATCTAGATTTTGATGATGGTTACGCTAAATATTTGGAAAATCGTGGAAAAGGTATTAATAACACTGAATTTGATATATATTTTGCCGCTACAACGGAAAAGAGAATGAAAGGAGATAATTTTGATTTACTAAGTTGGTGGAATCTCAATTGGGGCAAATACCCTATACTTTCTCAAATTGCAAAAGATGTTTTGGGAATGCCAATTTCAACCGTTTCTAGTGAGTCGGCATTTAGTACCGGAGGTAGGGTTATTGACAAATTTAGAAGTTCTCTTATACCAAAGACCGTCGAAGCGTTGATATGCACACAAAATTGGCTACGTTCTACACCATCCGATTTGCAAGAGATGACCATTCATGGACTACAACTACAAGAATTGATGATGAATTTGGAGAAACTAGAAATTGGTAACCACTAACCATTTTATCGTTTAATGAGTTATATTTTATAATTTATTTTCATATAAATTTTAACAATTTGTGAAATGTTGTTTACTATAGATTACTTTTCAAAGGAAAAAAAAAATCATGTAATGATTCGTTCATGGATGAGGATTGAAGATTCACAAATGTTGTTTACTATAGATTACTTTTCAAAGGAAAAAAAAAATCATGTAATGATTCGTTCATGGATGAGGATTGAAGATTCAAAATCGAAGGATTTTTTTTTTTTTTTTTTTTTTTTTTTGCATAACTAGAAATTAGTACAATGGTATTTTTGTGTTGACATTCCGATCTCCTTTAGTAGTACATGACTAAATGGTTCTTAGATTTAATAATAAAAGACTAAATGGTTGTTGACTTCTCATTTAATCCATATTTGTTGACATTTCATTTTTTTTCTTGATTTTAGTAGTAAATGACTAAATGCATTTTCTTGATTTTAATAGTTGATAGCTTTTAGAAAATTAGTAAAACAATTTCTAAGCAATTTAATTTTTGTTGCTTATATTTTATGGCAATGAATTTTACTTTTCTTTTATATAAATTTATTTTTTCTAACCTTTTTGGTTAACCAAAATTAACCGACAACCACAGATGAATTAACCAACTTAACCATCAACCAAAACCGATTTTAACTACCTACAAATGGTTAACAAGATGTATTAACCGAATAATTTGGTTATGGTTCGGGTTTGGCTATTAACCGCCCCAAACCACCCATACACACCTCTATTTGTTGCAGACAAAAAAACTCAAAAACAGTTTCTAAAAAAAATAAACACCACCCAAATCGATGTTTAGCGATGCTAGTAATAAGTAATAAGATATGTAGATGCTCTGTTAGGGATTTTATAAAACCTTATACGACGTAATGGTTCAAACATCAGATACTAAAAATATCATTATGTGTGGAACAGTTTATATCCATGTTTTTTTGCCTCTTAAGTTGTGTAAGGGTCACTGAGTCTTGAAAAAAAAAAAATCTAACTCTGATTCTAAATTAAGTCAAAATAATTTGTCGTTGATTGGGGAGGTCATGACAATGATTTCTTTGCTTTTACTAATACCAATAATGTTACATTGATGAGCAACATAGAATCCCCAAATATCCCACGGTAGTAAAAGAAAACAAGAGTATGAAAGATGAAAATCGATGTTGTTTGGTGTGTTCAATAAAAAGTTTAACTGAGTGTAAAAATCATTTTATTTATCTTTAGAATTTATACTAAGATAAAATACGATTAGCCGATAAATATTTAAATGAATATTTTAAACTAGAAAACGAAATGATTTTTTTTGGAATTTCAGTTCCATTAGATTTACATGATATTTAGATGAAAATTGATCGTTGTTTCGTGTGCTCAATAAAAAGTTTAACTGAGTGTAAAAATCATTTTATTTATCTTTAGAATTTATACTAAGATAGAATACGATTAGCCGATAAATATTTAAATGAATATTTTAAACTAGAAAACGAAATGATTTTTTTGGGAACTTCAGTTCCATTAGATTTACATGATATTTCTTTTTGTGGAAGACGTATTTGTTTTTTTCGGATTCGTTGCCCCTCTTGGTTAGCATTTGGTTATGGTTGCTTTGGGTTATAAGTAGACCTGGATTCGTATCGTGTTAAAACAGTAAACGGGTTGAGAGAGTTTGAATCTAACCCAACCCATTTAACTAACATATATTGTCGTATCAATTCGTTTATTTTCATGTCATGTCATCCTTTTGGAAGATGTTATTGGGGTTTAGAAGTTCGATTTGTACAACAAGTAAATAAAGATCCTTATAAGGTCGATTTAGTAGTTCAAACTCACTAAACATATCCTAAATCAACCTTTTAGGGGTCTTCATTTACTACTTGTATAAATCAAGCTTCTAAACTACAAGTGAGTTTGAATCAGTAAATTAACATTCGTACACCGACTTTTAAGTGACTTTGAATCAATAATTTTACATTCATACACCATTTGTGAACAAATACTCTAACGATAATTAAACATTAAACATTATAATAGTAAGTGTCATGCAACGTCCCAACATACATAATAAAATTTTTATTTTTAAATAAGATAAGAAAAAACATTCATTCCAATCCATCAAAAGATAATCATAGTATAAAATGTAATTTCAATAAACATTAGAGTAAAATATAAACTAAATAGTGTGGAGTGTCTAGTGGATGTGATGCGATAACATCTTCTGAATCAAGCTTTTAAACCACAATAACATCTCCTGAATCGGTCAATTTGTTGACATTGCAATAAAATTATAAATGTAATGATATAATTGAGAAAAAAACTCAGTGTTAAAATCGAACTTTTGTGATAATATATCAACTTTCTTGCAATTTGAATTCGATATCAAGATTGAAATTTTAGTAAACTTAGTGAATTTATTGTAATTCGGGAAAAATAATTACAAGAAGAAACCAATCATTTGTTTGATATTATAATAAATATGTAAATATAATCACATTCTCGAAAAAAAGAGCTCAATGTCAAAATGTGATAATATCATTGCCCTATTTTATACAAATTGAAATCAGGAACCGGTTTATGGTCCGGACCCGTTTTCTCAGGCCCTAGTTCTTGTTCGGGTTTGGGATCCACCAGGTCGGGTGGAGCTTTTGAAGTGTACTCTGTTACGAATTCTCCTACGCTTTCATCCTCCTCCGATCGCCGCCGCCTCCACTCCGCTCACTTCTCCCTTTCCCACTTTGCTCCGGCAGCGATACTCACAGGTAATTCTAATCACAAACCGGTTACTAGTAGCGTTTGATTCACGATTGGTTGTATAGAGATTACGTATAATGTCATACGTCGAACTTGGATTTGCTTGTAGCATAGCGACTTTTGGCTCATGTGTTTTTCCTAATTTTTACGATTTTTGTGTTTATTAAGGCTAGAAATCCCTCCCAATTACAAATTCACTTGCTACGATAAAAATCATTAATGTTTAGGGTTCAGTTTTTCAGTTCAATTTCTTCAGTATTCTCTGGATATGTAGGTTCCCTGAATCGATTACTGATGTTTCGTTTTGCCAATTTCATTAGGAATCATCACTTTCGTCCTCAAAAGACTCATTGAAGATTCTTAGGAAAGGTTGTCATCAACAATGAGACTCCGATATGCCATGGTATGCTCTTCAAATCAGAATCGAAGCATGGAGGCTCACTTCATACTCAAAAGGGAAGGCTTTGATGTTTCTTCATATGGAACAGGCACTCACGTCAAACTCCCAGGCCCTTCTTTAAGAGAACCAAATGTCTATGAATTTGGCACCCCTTACAAGCAGATGTATGATGAACTCAGACGCAAAGACCCTGAACTGTATCCTTAATCCTCAATCCTCATTCTGTATTTCTGTTTATGCATAAATTTATGTTGAAATGAAAGTTCCACTTCAGTTGCTATTTCTTAATTATTACATAGCTATAAGCGTAATGGCATACTCCCAATGCTGAAGAGGAACTTGGGTGTGAAAACTGCACCTCAGAGGTGGCAAGAAAACATAGCAGATGGACAATTTGATGTTGTATTCACATTTGAGGAAAAAGTTTTTGATATGGTTGCTGAAGGTTAGTTTGGTCATCTTTACATCTTATAGTTTCCAGTTTTTATTCATTTTTATAAACTGTAATTATGGTTTTGATAATTATGTGTAGATCTTCATACTCGTGATCATATTCTTCTGAAACCTGTGTTGGTGATAAACTTGGAAGTAAAAGATAATCATGAGGAGGCTTCAATTGGTGCTAGACAAACTTTAACATTGTGTCAAGAGGTTTGTGTCATCTCTTTTTTTCTTGCATTTAGCCCATTTTCTTTATTTTTAGTCAATTACTAGAATAAACTAATGAATGAAAGTATTATGTTGCTATTTGTTGCATGTAGCTTGAAGCAACTGATCGTTGGGAAGATGTGATTGATGATGTTATATCTACATTTGAGCAAAGACACCGAAGAAAAGTCGTATACACAATCTCATTCTATTGACTTAATGTAATGGATTGATTCTAGTTATAGAGCTTTATGGTGAGATATATATAGTTGACTAGTGTTCATATGCTACTACTACTTTAATGTCTATGTAGCCAAAATTGATGTAATTCTTTTGGGATTTTAAAAAATTTAGACTTGGGGTAAGTTTTTGTCAATCCACACAACTTAAAGCTCTTATTTTAAACGAAAAAACTTATAATCCAAAAACGATTTCAAGTATCTTTTAAACGTGTTTAGCTTTTAGCTTTTATGTCATATATCAAAAATTTCTACATAGATAAAAGCAAGATAAAAGCTTTTAGCTTTTGAAGTTGATTTTGAATTTTGATTTTTTGGCTTAACTATCAAAAATGAATCATCCTATAAAGACTTGTTGTGAATAGAAGAAACATAAACAAATAATTAAGAAGAAAACAACAAATAAACTTTGCTCAAAATGTCTCAAATGAAGTGTTTATTTACATGGTTGACCCACTATCATTAAATTAAAAAAAAAAAAATGTAAACCCAAAACCAGAAAAAATGCAAACCATGTTTTGGTTCAAACTTCAAACATACCTATGACTACATAAACAATAATCCAAACACAAATTCCACTCTTTTAAAAACCCGACAAATGGTCAAACATAAGTTGACCACAACTATGACCTAACTTCATATAAACCAGCTTCAGTTTGAGCTCGAAATCCCTTGTGAGCAGGATTTGGTAAATTCTTTAAATCCAATTTACCAATTTTCAAACCAGATAAAGCCACACCCATGATTTTAAATCCCACTTGAAAAGTCGGTTTCACTTGGAGTTTTTCTACCCCTTCTTCAAGCACCAATGTTCCCGACATTTGTGGGGTTTTATCTTTCGGAAACCTCCCGATCGACCAGCTACACGTCTGTCATATCACACCAAGGGCAATTTCGTCATTTCCCATTTACATATATACATTCAAATTATTACTTGATGGAAACAGGAAATACCTTATCAGCAAGGATGTTTACTGTACCATGATTTGATGTGAGATTGGCGGAGGAAACGGAAGGAGGGAGTCGGAATTCCACAACTACGGAATCAATGGCTTTTCCGGGGTCATTTCTGATTCCGACCATTACATTGATACGACATGTGCCGGATTCCGAACTCAATTGAGGCTTTACATATATAGGAATATTCCTTAGCTTCTTCACCCTGTAAAGGAACTAAACATTAGTCAAAAATACCTAATTTACACTTTTGGTCCCTGTGAATTATCATTTTTTTGGATATGGTCCAAGAAATTTTTTTTAACCATTTTCCGTTGCTATTTCATTGTTTCTTAATGTTTTTCAACCCGGGGTAGTCTAAATGACCATTTTGCCCTTGTCTTCTCTGTTTCTTTCATCTAGCTCCACAAGATACCAACATTTGTAATCATTTATGGTGTAATAGGATGTACTTAGGGTCTGAGATAAAAATAGAGAAAGCAAGGGCAAAATGGTCATTATCATAAAATTTAACAGCTGGGTTGTTAACATAGATAACCCTTGAACAAAAAATGTTAACAGGGAAATAGGGATGAAAATTGCAAAAGATTCTTTTTTGAAACATATAAAAGAATCGATATTGAACAGGGACCAAAAAAGATTCATCCCCCCTATTTAACTGCTCCTTAACATTTTTCGTCCATAGGTCGTCTAAGTTAACATCCCAGTTTATTAAATCTTCAAAATGACAATTTTGCCCTTGCCTTCGTTTTCTTTATCACCTTCATCTTCCTCCTCAAGAAACCAACATTTGTCATCATTTGTGGTAAAACTGAATGTATTAGGGTTTGAGATGGAGAAAATGGAAAAGACAGGGGCAAAATGGTCATTTTTATTGAACAGCTGAGTTGTTAACTTATACGACCTAGGGACAAAAAACGTTAAGAAACAGTGAAATATGCATGAAAATTGAAAAAAAAAAAAAAAAAGTTTCTTTTTTGGACCAGATTAAAAAAAGAAAACTGATATGACACAGGGACCAAAAGTGTAATTAGATCTTAGTAAAATTCCAATTCCACAACAAATGCATATCACCATATTTATATACCTGTAACTCATGAGCTTAAAAAGTCCATCTGGAGGCACAAAGGAGAGTATCTGTTCTGATTCCCATGGTCGAAATCGAACACAGGGGTGAAATTGTACATCATTCAAAATCGAAGGGTTTGCAAATGAAAGGGTCAAATCCGGAATACCCGAAAGATGAGAGTTCATTTCAACCAAACCAAAGATTTCACATTTCACCAACACCCCATCACTGAATATAACAAAAACTCAAAGAATTTATAATCCATTTCAACAAAAAGATAAGTGAGAAAAAAACAACTAAAGTCATACCTGTTTACAATTGTATCCATCTCCTCAACAAGATTGACATACACATCATTATTTGCATGCTTCAATTGTGTTGTCCTCCATGGCACACATGATGACGTGGCACCTGGAAGTGTGTCACTGACATTAGAAGTGTTACCTGTGACTACACTCAACATTTTGCTAACAATGTTTGGTGGAGATATCATGTCCCTTAGTATGTTAGGTTCTGTAGTTAGAGGGAATCCATTGTCTATCATTTCATCCAATAGCTGTAAGAAACAATGTACTTTATATGAATATAATTGATACTTGACATAATCAAGAACAAAAGAGTTTCTAACAAATTCAAAATGGATATTTTAAATGTTACATACCTCGTATACGATTACAAAATTGTCCTTTATTACATCTTCATTTAACCCTCCAAGATAATCTGAGAGGACATCAGCTACTCTGCAAAGAAACTAGAAGTTTACTAGTCAAAAACATGTATTTTTCCTTGATATTTTGCATTCCAGATTGGTTTATTCTTAATAAAGGACAGATCTTGTGGATCAAATAGTTTAAATTTTGTTAATTTTGGGTTAATTTAGTTGATTAATGCACCAATAGAGCTTTGATCAAAATTTTCCATTCAATGTACTCGAGATATGAATAACAATCAATTGAAAAGAGAGAAAAAAACTAAATTATACTAACCTCTATTCCCATCAATGGTGGCATTTCAACTTGAGTGCAGGCTAAAAAAGTGATCCCTTCACGTACAATTTGGAAAAGGTAATGGGTTGGTGAAGCAATTACTGACAAAACCTATATATAACGAGAGATAAACGACTGAATTCTAACGAAAACGAATCTCGATTGATTGAATTGATGGAAATATATATGAATTGAGAATCGAAGGAGTACCTTAAGGGAATCAGGTTGAGAGATCGATTGCTCCCAAAACCAAGCGCAGATTGATCTATCAACACGATGCCCAGTCAGCTGCTTCTCTAGCATCACCTCTCTGGAAATTAAATTGCATATTGCAATCGTCAATTTTAATCAGCAAACAGAAACAATACTGTCTTCAACTTGAATTATTTTACTAGAAAGAAGAAAATTAGCATACCCGGAATCGGAAAGAAGAAATATGCACTGCAACATATCTATTGGGTCGTTGAATGAATTGGGATTCGATTATTGCAGGTTTCTAGGGCTCAAAAATCTTGATCTCCGGCAATCGACTCCAATAGGCGTTGGATGCTGAAGGCATGGGTATAGCTGGGTGTAAAACAACCTGTAATTTTGGGTCTCGTAAACCGTTTCCCGTTAAACGGGTTGGGTCTCGTTTGTAGGCCGTTTTCCAGTTAACGGGTGTTTGGGATTGTGTTTCAAAACTCAAACTCATTTGGGACATAAGTAAAAAATTAGGAGTCTTTTACTTAGATTAGATTTTTAATGAGATTAGATTTGTCGTTTAAAAAAAAATTAAATAGTAGAATTGATCTAAATATTGAACAACGGTAAATTATCATGATGCTCCAACAATAAAAATAAACAATAAAAATAGGGTTTTGAGCTTTGTTTCATCTGATGCTCCAACATCATTCTTGTGGTCAAGTAATTAACATAATGAGAAAACCACAAAAAAGGTGTTCATGTTTAACGATTGTCCATCAAGAAAGGAATCTTGGATATGTTCCTTAGAAGTATTGTTAATATGAATAGGGAGTGATGGAGGATGGTTTGCTATTATATTTTTTTGAGTCGTTTTTATCTTTTATATCCAAATCAAGTTCTTGTAGTAACAAAATCGAACAAATAAGTCTCGGTAATTGCAAGACTGGTTATTGGGAAATATGTTGTTAAATGTGAGTCGAACATTTGGAGCATTCATGTGGAACATTTGAGTTCAATGGAGCACTTGGGGTTCATGGAGCATGTATTAAAGGAACATATCATTTGAGAAAGGGATGGATCTCCTGACAAAGGAACAGATCAAGTAACAAAAGAACGGATCTTATAAAAGGAGGTATGTAGCACTTGGAAGTGGAATGGAGTGACATATGCTTGGATGCGCCACTTAGAAGTCAATGTGCACTATTGGAACTTGGTATGCCACAAAGTGACTTAATATGCCACGAAATGACTTGATATGCCACGAAGTGACTTGATATGCCACCAAGTGACATGATATGTCATCAAGTGATTGGATTGCCACCAACATGATGTGTCATCAAGTGACTGGATACGTCATTCAGGAGGTGGATACGTCATTGTGGAGTGGATGTCTAGATATGTCAACCTTGGAGAGGATATGCCATCCATTGATCATGATGTTCCATCCTCATACCTGATGCGTTATCTTGATGCAAGGATGTGACACTTGGTTCCTTGATATGCCAAGGTATCCCTTGATGAGCCGTATGTTATGAAGTCCCCTATGATGCTCAAAATTATTCAAGGAAGCTCAAAAGTTGAAGATGCTTAAGGATTATTGTTTGATGTGCGACCATGATAGTTGATATGACATGGTAATCCTAATATGCCACTTTTGTATCCTGATATGCCACTATGGATCATGATGCTCCATCATGTGTGTTGTTGATGCTTATGCAAAGATGAATGCTCCAAGAGATGCTGCATGGCGGATTGTGATTGGTTGACACCTTTCATGGGCCTACAGGCCAATAAGCTTGGCCCATTAGGGTTTTAGGTCTGATCCCTCAAGTACAAATAGAGATGCATGTTAAGTCATTTTGTATCTTGAATTCTAAAGTATTAGGTGAATCTCTATGAAAATTGTACTTGTAACCTTTGTTTGAGAGCTCTGAAATAA